ATCATGATCTAAGCGACATTCCAACACATATAGGCTTTACAGCCAGCTTCCCTGGGAAATGGTCCCCAGTTGGGTTTTAATTCAATTGAGTACTGGTTTCGGCTGGCTCCTAGTAGGGGTCTCCTGGCCAGAGGCGGCTACACCAGAGATTTGGAGGGGAATTACATTAGACCAATGAGGAGGAAACCTCACACTGGAGTCTTAAGATCGGTGGCCGTCCTGGTGACTTAGGTGGCTGTCCCGTGCCCAAGACAGACAACTTTGTATAAGGACAGGAATAAAGAGAGGGCATCAAGCTTCTGGGTCTTACTACCATTCCCGCCAGGGTACTAACTTTCAGCCAAAAGGCAGGCTTTTTCCTCCCCGTAGAGTAGCCACAGCTAGAGGATTGCAACCTAAGCAATCGACATGAAAGTGTTCCAATTTGACCACATTCCTTGAAAAGCCCCTGAAATGAGAGTAAAGGAAGAAAAGAAAAGGTACTCATCAAGTTTGCACCAAGGCTCAGAGTCCAGATGAAAAGACTCAAAGCTCCCATGTAAGGGCACCAAAATGATGGGATTCTTACCACATGTAATCTTTTGTGTCCAACTTCTTTTGCTCAACATATTCTATGATTTTTGATGCTCACGTATAGTCATAAATATTTGTCATTTTATCTTAAAATTTTTTGCTGGCTGTGAGGCTGGCTATTCTTCCATGTTATTTTCCCCTTGCCTTTGGGACAGTGGATCCTGACCCTAGCTGCATGTGCCTGGGCACCAGCATAGATTTAGTTAGATCAGAAGCAGTGGGGATAGGGCTTAGGGATCAATGTTTTTATAAAAGCTTCCTCATGCGATTCTGATGTGCCATCCGGTGTTAAAAAACACAGATTTAGGAAAGAAAATGGAAGGAACTGTCAAAACTCGAAGTTCATTTTTGTTTTCATTCCCCTGATCCCAGTCCTGACCTTTATGGACCATGCCTAATTTTTCCATGTTTTCCCAACCACTCTTCCAGAGGAACAAATTCCTTGCCTTTTTGAAAGAAAAATAATGGAAAAGTCCATCTGGTTTTACTCGAACATAAACAAAAAGTTGTCCCTAAATTTTAAAACATGAGTATTGTGCTGCCTCATAGATCTAGTAGTTAATAAAACCAAAAATAAACTTAGAAAATGCATGTGCTCTTCAGGCAAGTTGGCCAACAGAGCTTCTGACCAAAGCAGAAAGTGTGCCAAACAGCCAGCCAGCAATGGCGAGGGAAGGCTCCAGCCTCTCACCAGCTGTACTGCGTCAACATACTCTTCAAACCATGCATAACACTACAGGAAGAAGCCTGAGTATCAGGCAGTAGGAGCTAGTTAGGTCAACCCTAATCCACTCACTTAATGGAACTTCATTCCACTGTAAAAGATGGGCGCCCTGAAGGTGAGACAGCAGCATGAGGAAATGCTTACAATATAATAAATGAAAAGGGCATAGGATAAAAATTTTAATATAGGTAAGATTTAAGGAAAAGATGCTTATAAAAAGACTAGAAGGAAATACAACCACTATTTTAATACTAATCGTATTGGGAGTTGGGTTTTCTTCCCAAATTTTCTATAGCTTATCATCTTACTTTAAAAAATAAATTAATTTCTGGGGCGCCTGAGTGGCTCCAGTGGGTGTCTGACTTCGGCTCAGGTCATAGTCTCACAGTTTATGAGTTCAGGCCCCGCATCAGGCTCTGTGCTGGCAGCTCGGAGCCTGGAGCCTGCTTCGGATTCTATGTCTCCCTCTCCCTCTGCCCTACCCCTGCTGGTACTCTTTCCCTCTCTCTCTTTCGAAAATAAATAAAACATTAAAAACAATTTTTAATAAAAAAATTTCTTTTTTTAAATGTTTATTTATTTATTTTGAGAGAGAGAGAGTGAAAAGAGAGAGAGTAGGGGAGGATCAGAGAGAGAGGGAGAGAATCCCCAACTCCGCTAACAACACAGAGCCCGAACTGGGGCTTGAGCTTTAAGCTCGACACTGACAGTGTGGATCCCTCCCCCTCTCTCTCTCTGCCCCTCCCCTGCACCCGCTCTCTTTTTCAAAAATAATGAACTAAAAAAAAAAAAAAAAAAAAAAAAAAAAAAAAAAGGACATAATTTACAAGGCTGTATGACTCTCTTGGAGTAGCTCTTCCATCACAGTTTGATTAGAGTTAGCATCTAGATAACTCTGTTTTGCTCCTCCCCTCCAGCTGGTTCCTAGTACTTGTACAAAACAAAATATCAAACCCACACATATTTGGTCAATTTATGACAAGGAAGCAAAGAATATATAGTGGGGAAGAGACAGTCTCTTCAATAAACAGCGTTGTGGAAACTGGATGGTTACATGCCAAAGAATGAAGCTGGACCACTCTCTTATACCATACACAAAATTTTACTCAAAAAATGGATTAAAGACTTGAATGTAAGACCTGAAATGTAAGCCTACAGTTAACACAATATTCAATGGTGAAATGCTGAAAGCTTTCTCTAGTAGATCAGAAGATATAAACTTTCTGTTATAAAACAAATAAATCATGGAGATGTAATGTATAGCATGGTGACCAGAGTTAGTATTGTATTGCATCTTTGAAAGCTGCTAAGAGAGTAAATCTTAAAAGCTCTCATCACAAGAAGAAAAGTTTCTATATATGGTGACAGATGTTAGACTGTAGTGATCGTTTTGCAATATACACAAATATCAACTCATTATGTTACACAGCTAAAACTAATATAATGTCAATTATGCCTCAATTTAAAAAATAATGAAATTTAATTTCATTTGTAAAAATTAAAAAATAAATTTCTTACTGGAGAAATCAGCAACATCTGGTTTGCTTGGCTTTGCTGGCATTATAGCATTAGGGTAGAGTGGGAGATCACAGGCTCTAAGGTCAGATTCTTCTTTGTACAAGTAACTTCCTTCTGGGTCAGGAGTCTCAAGAGCACCCTTAGGTTTGTGATTCATTCAGACTCACAGAACTCAGAAAAGCTGTTATACTCATGGTTATGGTATATTACAGTGAAAGAATACAGATTAAAATCAGCAGAGGAGAAAGACACATAGGATAGAGTCCAGGAGAGACAGGATGCAAGCCTGTTGTCCTCTCCCAGTGGAGTAGAACGGACAGTACATAATCCTACCAGCAATGATGTGTGACAACACGTATGAAGGTTTCCCAACCAGGGAAACTCACCTGAGCCTTGACATCCAGAGATTTTTATCGGGGGTCAGTCTCATCAGCATGGAGTGCCCCAGTGATTACCGTTAACTACTCAGTCTCCAGACTCCCAAACCCCCAAGGTGAAACTGACACAGCATGGCCCAGGGCCCTAGGAGAACAAAAATGCACTCACCATAAACCATATTGGGTTTTTTTTTTTTTTTTGAAATGTTTATTTATCCTTGAGAGAGCACAAGCAGGGGAAAGACAGAGAGAGGGGGACAGAGGATCCTGAGTAGACTCCGTGCTGACAGCATAGAGCCCGATGCGGGGCTCAAACTCATGAACCGCGAGATCATGACCTAAGCCGCAGTCAGATGCTCAACCGACTGATCCACCCGGGTGCCCCGATCGTATTGTTAACATAAAATATTGGTGTAGTCCAAGGCCACAGGTATACAAAGATGTTATTATCGAGCAGGATATTCCAAGGCCTTAGAGAGCTAGTCAAGGAATGTGAAGGGTTTGGATACCTCAGTTCCACTGAGTAAACTCTACTGCCCAGCCTCCACGTCCTGATTCATAGAGAAGGGGATTGGCTGCACAGCTTTGCTTTAAAATCAAATGAGATGGGGCGCCTGGGTGGCGCAGTCGGTTAAGCGTCCGACTTCAGCCAGGTCACGATCTCGCGGTCCGTGAGTTCGAGCCCCGCGTCAGGCTCTGGGCTGATGGCTCGGAGCCTGGAGCCTGTTTCCGATTCTGTGTCTCCCTCTCTCTCTGCCCCTCCCCTGTTCATGCTCTGTCTCTCTCTGTCCCCCACAAAAAAAAAAAAAAAAAAAAAAAAAAAAAAAAAAGAAAAAAAAAAATAAAATCAAATAAAATGAGGTGTGTGAAAAGCCTGGAGCACAGGTTTTTAGTTAGCTGGTAGTTCCCTTCTGTCAGGGCTTCCCCCAGTTTAAGTATCAGAGGTAAGATCAGACAGTTGACATGTGCAAACTGCTCAGCACCGTAGGCCTAAATGACTGTGCCCTCAAGTGTCTACAGTACCCAGAGTGGATTCCTCATTCCTTAAACACTTTCTGTTTCAGTTAAAAAGGCATTACCCAAATGTCTAGGCATTCAGGGAAATCAGGGGGCTACAGAGACCATTAGAATAGTTTCTTCTTGTTTGGAGTAGTTGTGGTTTTTTGTTTTTTTGTTTTTTAAGCTATCAGGATGTAATTAACCACAAATAAAAATAAAGTGAAACAAAAGAAACCAAAAACTCGACATCGATTTAGACCAAAATTTTCTCTTACATAACAAGAAATCTGGAGGAAGGTGATTGTTGGGGTAGCTTTAGCTGCTCAGTAGTGTCGTGAAGGCCCAGGCTCTTTCCTTCCTTTCCCTCTGCCATGCTTGGTGGGTCAGCACCTTTGTCTTTAGGCTTGTCACATCATGGTTACAAGGTGGTGACTGTAGGGGCAGGTGGCGCAAGCTCAGCAGGAGGCCAGCCAGCGCAGAGAGGGCTGGTTTCTGAAGTTTCTGGAAGTGCCCAGCAAGCATACCTTTGTCACAGGTCCATCCCTGTAGCCACACACACACACACACACACACACACACCCCTGGGACCCACCCACCTTTCTTGAGATCAAGAGCCCTCTGTGGGCACCTAAATGAAATCTGGGTTTTGCCAGCAGGAGAGAAGAAAGGCTCTAGGTACACTTAGTCCGCCACAAGTAGTCTGTTTATGATGAAGTGGAAGTGGTGAGGGATCCCTCCCAAATATGCCCAGGGCTTTCTCTCAAGCTTTAGGCTGCATTAGAATCCCCAGAAGCGTTGCTAAAACACAGATCCACTCCCAGAGTTTACTATTCTGCGGTTCCGGGAGAGAGCCCTAGGCTTTGCACCTTCGAACAAGTTCCCAGGCGATGCGGATGTTGCTGGTCACAACGCAGCTTGGGGAACACTGCTGTAGGCTGAGAAAACCTGGTTTAGGAACGTTAGCTACAGCAGTGCTTCTCAGTGAGCAGTGGTTTGCCTCCCAGGGCAAGGGAACATTTTGCAATGTCTGGAGACATTGGTACGACTGGCATCAAGTGGGTAGAGGCCAAGGATTCTACAAAGCACAGGAGAGCCCTCCACAACAAAGACTTATCTGGCACAAGATGCCAATGGGGCAAAGGTCAAGAAACCCTGGTGTGGAGTGATTTTGTGTTATCAGACCTAATAGGTTCAAAGTAAAACTTCTCCTCAATTTTTCATTAGAAGAAGCACTTTCTGAATAACAATGTTCTTACTTGGAAAGCACAGCCATTCTCAAAGAGGTTTGCCTAGTGGTGGCATTGAGGTATTAATCTGTTTTCTTGTTTGCTCGGATTAGGTGTTATAGTAGCTGGAAACGATCATTTAGATTTTTGTTCTTTAAAAAAAACCCAACAGGTTTATTGATATAATTAATATACCGTATAGTTCACCCACTTAAAGTGTACAATTGAATGGCTTTTAGTTGTGCATCCATCACCACAATCAATTTTAAAACATTTCACACCCCCCAAAGAAGCCTTTTAGCTGTTGTCCACCATCCTCAGTTTCCCTCCCCACCCCTAGCCCTGGGCGACAAGGAATCCTCTATTTGCCTGTTCTGTACATTACATATAAATGGAATAATATAATATGTGGTCGTTTGTGACTGACTCTTTTCACTCAGCATAATGCTTTCAAGGTTCATCCATAGTGTCACATGGATCAGTACTTCATTGCTTTTTGAGGCAGATTCGTGTTCCATTGTACAGATATCCCATATTTTATTTATCCATTCTTCAGGTGATGGTCTTTGGGTTGTTTCTACCTTTTGGCTATTGTGAATGGTGCTAGTATGAATATTCATATACAGGTTTTTGTGTGGACATATGTTTTCACTTCTCTTGGAGAAATACCTAGGAGTGGAATTGCTGGGTCATATGGCTCTATGTTTAACCATTTGAGCCAGGCTTTCTCCAAAGAGGCTGCCATTCCTACCAGCAGTGTTTGAGAGTTCCAATATCTCTACATCTTTGCTAGCACCTGCTATTATCTTTCTTTTTCATTTTAGCCATCCTAGTGGGTGTGAAGTAGTATCTCCTTGTAGCTTTGACTTGCGTTTCTTTAATGCCTAATGACGTTGAACGTCTTTTCATGTGCTTATTGGCGTTAAGTTCAACTTATGTCAGAATCAGAGTTAGAGTCTTGAGCAGAAACCTACAGAGAACTGGCCTGCAGAAGTTCAGACTTGGGGCAAGGATCGAGAGCAGACTCAGTTATCAGAGGCTGAAGTGGGTTATATCACTGTCCACAGGTATAGCCAAGAACTAGAAACTTAAATTAACAGCTGACTCCATGGAGCAGGATTCAGAATTAGATGTCAGGGGTCAGAAGTCAAGGAGTGTTTCCTGAGTTGGGGATGACTAAAGCTGGTGTTATTTAAGAGGTTATCCTTGGTCCATTCCCCTATTTGGGGGCAAGAAGTCCTGCAGGAGTGAGGCAGGACGAATATCCACGTCTGGTGGCAGGCTTCGACAGAGCAAAAAGAGGACACCCGAGAGAGGCGCACACACACGAGGAGGCAACATAAACTTCCACAGTGCTCAGCTGGGCTTCTATTTAAATTTACTTTGGGGGCGCCTGGCTGGCTCAGTCAGTTGAGCTTCCAACTCTTGATTTCAGCTCAGATCATGATCTCATGGTTTGTGGGATTGAGCCCCGCATTGGGCTCCGTGCTGTTAGTGGAGCTTGGGATCTTCTGTCTCTCTGTCCCTCCCCTGTTCACACACACACACACACACACACACTCTCTCTCTCTCTCTCTCTCTCTCAAAATAAAGAAACAAACTCAAAAAATAAACTAAACTAAAATAAGAATAAACTAGTAAATAAGCAAACAAATAAATAAATAAATAGAAATTTACTTTTACAGAGACTTCAATGAGAAACATCACCACCACAAAGTCAAGCTTGGCCGAGTCAAGAACCTTTTACTTCAGGAAGTAGAGCTGCGAGAAAAGAGAATTGAGCATTTGGAAAATGAAGTCAGAATCCTGCAGCACCAAGTGGAAAAGGTGGGCAGAAGCAAAGAGCTCCCCAAGTTGTCGCTGCTCAACCCATTCGGGAGAGCGCGCTTGGGCTGCAATCCACCCGGTGGCCCCTTTGCAGCCCAGGTTTTCACTTCTTTACACCTTCTTTTTTTTTTTTTTCAACGTTTATTTATTTTTGGGACAGAGAGAGACAGACCATGAACGGGGGAGGGGCAGAGAGAGAGGGAGACACAGAATCGGAAACAGGCTCCAGGCTCTGAGCCATCAGCCCAGAGCCCGACGCGGGGCTCAAACTCACGGACCGCGAGATCGTGACCTGGCTGAAGTCGGACGCTTAACCGACTGCGCCACCCAGGCGCCCCTCTTTACACCTTCTTTTGATGTGAGTCATCCTTTAAGACCTGCCAGAAAGGATGTAAGACTCGTGGGGATGCTGAACCGAATCAGACGCTGAAAATAGCCCGCACTTCCAACTCTGGAGCAGTGTCTGGTCTTCTCTGACATACCCTTCCGAACCACACTCAGTAACTCATTCCTACTCCACGTTGCCCTCATCATGCCTCGAACTCCTGTCGGTCTTAAATGGCAGTGAAAATATGTGACCTCTATTCCTTTAGCATTCCTTGTGGGGTGTCTCCAAGCCTTTTTCTAAATATCCGTGGTTTCTTTATCCCTGTCCCGTTGCCCCTGTGACTTACTGGTAAGCGAGAAGACGATGAGGCAGATGGCACGGTATTGACTGCAGAATGGTCTTGAGATCATCAAACGACACAAATTCAAAATGGAGAGCGGCTGACGAGGCCAGTCATGCTTTCCCTTCTTGAGATTCCCTAGCCCATTTCAGAATTTTGAAAACTCTGTCCTCACTCCTAAAATACTCATAGCTATGCACGTGCCAAGGATTCCAGAAGAATTCATGCAATTTCAGTCATTCCACGGGCTGTTATGGGATGGTGAAGAATTCTAGACTACACACATGAGACATTTTTGGATTATAACAGATGGGTCACCAATGTTGGATTCTTAATTAAAAAAAATCCTCCTGATACTCTACACTATAGTGAGGGAGAAAAATAAGCTGGATTCTGCAGTATCCTTTTATCTGGGCACTACATCGCCAAACTTTCAAAGACTCAGATCTAGGTTAGATTCACAACTAGGAAAGGTATGCAGAAGAAAGGAGCAATCCTGGCTCATGGGCCCACCAGAAATATTCTGCATTATTACTTTCTTGTACTGCCTGCCTTCCACTTCTAGTGTTACATGACAGAAACAACCCCCCTCCTTTCAGCAGGCATCTTCTCTTTCTCCCTGACTGTACCGGGTTAAATAACGTCCTCCACAAAGTCGTGTCTATCCAGAACCTCAGAGTGGGATATGATTTGGAAATAAGGTCTTTGCAGGTGGGATTTGTTAAGATGAGGTCATAGTGGATTCGAGTTGGCCCTAAATCAAGGCCCGAAATCCAGTATGTCTGATGGCCCTATGAGAAGAGCAGACACACATAGACACGTGCAGGGGAAGACGGATGATGGATGCAGCTCCATCAGGGAGCACCAGGGAGGGCTTGCCAACACCAGAAACTGAGAGAGAGGCGTGGAGCCCCCAGAAGGAACTAACTCACCCAACACCCCAATTTTAGACGTGTGGCCTCCAGGAATGTGAGAAAATCAGTTCCTCTTGTTTTAAGCCATCCAGTTTGTGGTTCTTTGCTACAGCAGTCCTGGAAACCTGACATATCTACCCAGAGAGTGGCAGGTCTCCAGGAAGTACACTGGAGGAGGCAAGTAAGCAGAGGCTAAGGAAGAGCAGTTTACCCTTTTCTCACTGCCCTTGAAGGGGGGCTGTGGACTCTGGCCTTAAACAGACTTGGATGCAAAATCTAGCCCTGCCACTTAATAGTTCTGTGACCTTGCACAAGCCTCTGGGTATCCTTTCCTCATCTGTAAAATGGCATTGCTAGTACCCATCTCACAAGGCTTTTTGTGCAGTTAAAATATGAAATGCCCGTACCTGACACATACAACTTTCCATAGATATTACTTTCTTCTCTTTTGTGTGTAAGCTCTCCTAGAAACATGTTAACTGGTAGATGCACAGTTCACAAGAGAAATTGTTAATGGAGTAGGAAATACTTAGCCTAGAGAAGACTGATGTGAGATCTTCTAATGCCACAGTGGTACAAACCTGGAGGTCCTGACTTTACTTAGTTTAGCGTCTGTGGATCAGAGCCATGAGCATAAAAAAGCTGGGCTCCCTTTCCAAGCACCAAATGTCCAGAAAGTAGTGCCACTTTTTTGGGCTTTGTTCCTTCAGCCTTCTCTTTATAGGGTGAGCCAACTGAGTCTCCTGACTATTGTAAACGTCCAAACCAGAGTTCTCCAAATATTTTATCCTTTTATTAGAGAATGTGTCCTGATTTTCTGGCTACAAAAAAAAAAAAATAAAATAAAAAATAAAAAATAGGGTATTTCCAAAGGGCAGGGTGTCAGTAGCCTTCTCCCTCCAGTTTCCTTTCTAATCCAGTTGTAACTGTGGAGTATTATCTGTGGGATGGCTTCTTCTCAATCCTTACCAAAAATGTATTTAAATAAGAGTAGGCAAGATTACTGTTAGACATTGAAGGGTCCTGGATGCAGGACTTTAAAACCTGGAGTGGTTTGTTTCAGAACATAATGTAGTATCCTTTCCTATAATTCTTAAATAATAGATGGAGTCTTTTCTGAATGATCTATATTAGTGTCTTTCTTAAAAGCAAGAAAGTTGCCCCTCTTAACTCCATGATTCACACCTGCCAGCAGCTCAATATTCTTCTCCTACCCCAACTCACTCCCGCCATCAGCACATGGGCACAAACACAGAAGGGTGAGGGCACTTAACACTGACAGTCATTAGTGACATGAGGAGGGCAGTTCTACACTTTTGAGCTTCTAGAGTCCTCCCCAACAGTGACATTTATTAATATCTACTGACTCTTTCAGTATAAGAAGTTTAGTATTGTTTTCACAAGACACCCTCCTTTCTCACTTTAGCTATAGCTTCACTAACTGTTGCTTTCAGGGAAAATTATTGGTAGAAAATGAAACATGGTGTTAAGATGGAAGTCTCTTCTGCATGATCACTATACGGATATTCTCAGTAGCCAGCTTACCTGCTTGATTTGCCAAGCCAACTGAGATCCTGACACTGGTTGCCAAGTGAGGGGACTAAATGTCCATCTTCTTGCCTTTGCTTTAAGAAGACTATCACCACAATGCAGATGGAGATGTATTATATGAAAAAATGTCAAACTGGAGCTTCAGGGAATTCAGTTGTATTTGTTAGTGATTTGATACCTATGGTATTAGAATAAATATGAGAAGCTTGGGAACTTATTGAAGTTGAGGTCTCAGATATTTTTAAATGTTAACCCAGAAGAATGATTAATTACTCAAAAAAAAAAATACATGACAAAAAAATAACCAAAATAAACAGAAGAACTCTCTAGCTGACAATGTCAGCAAACAGGTGAAAAACAGACCAGGGGGCAGGAGAGGAAAAGTCAACAAGGGAAATTTGCTGTCAACTTTGTAATTCTTTCTCCTGCTGTGGTAACAAGGGGCTTTATTATCTCTAGGAGAAGGCATTCCAGGACAAGATCATTGCTCAAAATGATATACTGCTCCTAGAGAAAAGGAACCTTCTGGAAAAACTCACAGAGCAAGAAGAATTAATCAAGAGCAATAAAGGGGTAACATCTTCAGTCCAGAACAAGTAGGTGCAGTCCTGACTGAGGAGCCAATGAACTCTATAAAGGTGTTCCTCCCTCCACAAAGAGATTGCTCCAGAGACTATCCCTTGAGTTTGCAGCCTATCTCATAACTTGCTCTGCTGTCTGCTGTTTCCAGTAGTTTATGCAAAAGTTGTGAAAATAAAGAGAAAAAGATCACGGAGGAGGCGGGTCGGCCATTAAATTTTTTTTTTTTAATGTTTACTTATTTTTGAGACAGAGACAGAGCATGAACGGGGGAGGGTCAGAGAGAGAGGGAGACACAGAATCCGAAGCAGGCTCCAGGCTCTGAGCCGTCAGCACAGAGCCCGACGCGGGGCTCGAACTCACGGACCGCGAGATCATGACCTGAGCCGAAGTCGGACGCTTAACCGACTGAGCCACCCAGGCGCCCCGGGTTGGCCATTTAGATGGGCTTTCTCACTTAGGCATTGCCTGACTGAGGGCCTAGCTATGCTAATTCTGGCCTGTCACTTTGTGTTTTAACACTCATTTGTATCATTTGATACCTATGGAATCAAGAGAGATCGAGAGAGGAACAGGCTCATACTAGTGACTTAAATTCATTAAACCCATAGGATACCCAGTGTATTAACCTGTAATGAGAAGTATCCACAGCAAAGATAAATTCACATATTAGCCAGCCCAAGCCCTCTCTCCTCTATAGGAAACTTCAATTATAATCAAAGTTTTCTTGGAGCACAGAATTAGGGCAAAGAGAGTGGGTTGCACTTAACAGATAGTGTCACCAATAATAACTGTAATGAGAGCACCGGGGTGGCTCAGTCCTTAAGCATCTGACTTTGGCTCAGGGCATGATCTCACGGTTCATGAGTTTGAGTCCCACACTGGGTGAACTTGAGCCCTGCTTCGGGTAAAACACAAGCCCTGGGTAAGCCCCGCTTCCCTCCACCCCCCACCTCTCTCTCTGCCCCCTTGCTCACTTGTGCCCTCTCTCTCTCTCAAAAACAAAACAAAACAAAACAAAACAAAACTATAATGATTAACATTTTTCAAGCACTCACTATGTGCTTGGCACTGTTCTAAACTCTCTCTCTCACCAATCCTCACGCTAATCCCAGGAGGGAGACACTGGGATTAGACTTATTTCATGGGTGAGAAAGCTAAGGTCCAGAGAGGCTCAGGAACTCAGACAGCCTAGTCACTGACAGAGCAGTGTGTGAACCCCAGTAGCTTGGCCCTAGAGCCCACAGCACCACAGTCTGTGGGGAGATCTGTTCAGCAGATTGGAACTCTCCTTTCTGCTGTTGGGGGCACCTGCTTCTCTGGGCAGACCTGGAGAGTCTCTGATTATCTTTTACTATCTATGTCTCCCCTTTTATGTACTCTAAATAATCCATGGCCCTTCTCAATCTACATCATTGATTTTGACATTCCCAATGCAACTGACTTGTTAGCTGTGCCTTAATATTAATGATATTTCCATATTGTCCTCCTGAAGGCACACTCTGGCCATCTGGATTGGATTTGTATGTTTTCCTTAGAGTAAGTTTCTTCTACAGGATGCTGCTTTCTTTTACAGATGAGAAAAACTGAAGCTCAGATTTGGTTTTTGTCAAGGGTCACACAGCAAGCAAATGGTAGAACCAGAACTCAAACACAAAACACAAAAAAATCTCTGATCAAAACTATGTTTTGATCATGTGTCCCAAATAAACCGTGGTCCTGGAAAATGAGCCTGGTATAGTGATTATACCAGGGCTTATATAACTTCTATAACTCGGGCTTAGAAGTCTGAAAGATCTGGATTGCATCTCAGCTCTCCGATTTTCTGGTTTTATGTTGCTTTTCTCTGAGCTTCAGTTTCCTCATATGTAAGATAGGCTCCATAACAACATCAATTTCATGGAGTTGTAAGGATGAATAAAATGAGCCAATACAGGGGCGCCTAGGTGGCTCAGTTGGTTAAGCGTCTGACTTCGGCTCAGGTCATGATCTCATGGTTCGTGGTTTCAAGCCCCACTTCGGGCTCTGTGCTGACAACTCAGAGCCTGGAGCCTACTTCTGATTCTGTGTCTCCCTCTCTCTGCCCTTCCCCTGCTCATACTCTGTCTCTCTCTCTCTCTCTCCAAAATAAATTAAAAAAAAAAAACATAAAAAAATTTAAAATAAAAAAAAATGAGCCAATATATGAACAGTTTTAAGTGTCTACTCTGTGGGTAGGTTATAGTGCCTAAGCGCATGGTAAGTACTTGGTAAATGGTTGCTGCTGCTGCTACCACTACTGCAGCTGTTACTACTACTACTACTACTACTACCACTACTACCACCACTACTGCTGCTACTGCTACTACTACCACTACTACTGCTACTGTTATTGGTGCTACTGCTGCTACTATTACTATTCCTGTTGCTGCTGCTGCTACTACAAAAGTAGAGGATGACTGTATGAGATCAGAACCAGATGCAGTCTGTGTAGCTACAATATTTGAAGGGATGCAGAGTCTCTTGTTTCAGTCCCACCCCTGAATAGGATCGTATCCTTTGTTAAGTTTCTCTGTTGCATACGGCATGTCTCTGTTCTCAATTTGTATTTAATGACTAGGTATAGGCCAGAAGCTTATTAATTTCGACTTCATCTTGGAACATGGTAGGAATTATTCTGCCAAAGTTGGTTCCAAAATCTGGGCAGTGGGCTAAGACCCAGAGCTAGTGGGAAGTGAGGACACAGTTTTGAGTTTTTAGTAATTAATAAATACTATGCATTATTATTATTTATAATAATACTATATTATTAGTTAGAAAGTAATAAATTGGTAAAAATACAGTAATTTTTAGTTATTCCTCTGATTTATCCCATTCTTAGAGTACTTCTCCTGGACAAAGAAAATAAGCATTTGCAGGAAACCAGTCTCTGGCTCAAACACCAGGTTGGCTTCTTAGAGAGTATCATAAGGAGCATCCAGATTCGCAGAGAAGAGGTAAGCTGGGTGCTGCTATGAGGGCCTTCATATGAAGCCTGGTTGCTAAGACTATTGTGTTCTCTCTTCCCTTCGTCTTCCTGTAGCTGTAGGCTGTACTTGGCCTCATGGTGGACTATGGCAAAGAGGCCCATTGGCTGCACCAGGGCAGCACACCCCGAGACTACTCTTGGCCAGCTTTGCTCTTCTTTGGGTCAGCTTTTATTAAATACTCTCATCCTATGTGATCCCAAAGCAATTTGTGCATGCTTCATAGCTTCTTCCTTAACACTGTATCATCATTGCCTATTTTGCTTCTCTATCTCATCCACTTAGCAGTGAGACCCTGGAGGGCAAGGATTGTATCTCGTATGTCATTGTATCTATAGGCAGGTGCTCCATAAACATTTCAGAGTGAATGAATATTAAATATTTTCACAGATATGCCTCATTCTCAACAACCCTGTTTGCCATGGATTGTTTTAGCCCTGTCTGAGAAATGAGCATATCTGAGACTCCTAGTGGTAAATGAAGCTAGTCTGGTCTGGCAAGGAGTCAAGCCTAAGGAGAACATCAGAGTCAGAGAAAGAAAGAGAGTCAGAGTCCGAGAAATTATGTTACAAAAATCCAAACAGACAAGTGGCCAAGTCCAGGCAGATGTGGCAAAGAGTATAAGTTCAGAGAAGGTCCAGAGTCTAGCTGGTGAATGTGTCAGCAAGAGGGACTTCAAGGAGCAGAGTTGCATTCTGAATCCAGGAGAGAGGCTGCTTTCTTTCTCCCCTGGCTTATATCACCTCCTAGATGTTTCATCCCAGGATACTTTATGTAGCTCCTGCCTGTTGGGTACTATTGCTATGGGCATAAGACCCACATCTGGTTTGCTCTAGGAAAGGTGATTATTTCCAAGCTATATGAGTTGTCTTGTAGATTTTTTTTTTTCAAAAGCAGAACTTCCAGAGGCGCTTCCAGATTTCAGCTCAGGTCACGATCCCAGGGTTGTGGGATTGAGCCCCGTGTCAGGCACTGCATTGAGTGTGGAGCTTGCTTAAGATTCTCTCTCTCCCCCCTCTGCCCCCTCCCCTGCTCTCTCTCTCTAAAATAAAACAGGACCAAAAAAACTATTTTTTTAAAAAAGGAGAACTGCCAGATTATATGGCTTAATTTCCAGTAGTTTATGTTTTTGCTTGAGCTACAACTATGCTCAACTGTCTAGTCATTCATGGGTGCCCGGCTGGCTCAATCAGAAGGGCATGTGACTGTTGATCTCAGGGTCGTGAGTTTGAGCCCCACGTTGGGTTTAGAGATTACTTAAATAAATAAATATTTTTAAAAAATTGTCTAGTCATTCACTATTTTACTTATTCATTCAACAAACATTGAGGAATATGAAGATAGACCCTGTTTCCAGAGGTCTTTAGTCTAGTAGAGAAGGGCAGAGACATACATGAATAAGCACTATAGTATTATATAGGTGGTGAGTTGGAGCCTTAATGGATATAGCTTTGATATCCACAATAGTATCCTCAAACAAAATAAATGTGACATGGGTCAGGATTACACTACATCGAGCTCAATGTTTCACATGTGACAAAAGTACCAACTTATAGCATCTTCATATCTGTTAAACAACCCCAAAATTGTTTTTAAATTTAGAATCTTAAGGATCTTCCAATTCAGCCCCCTCATTTTATACAGGAGGGAGAGAAAACTCAACGAGGTTAAATGATATGCCTGAGTCACACAGCAACTGCTGACATTTCTCATATCTCTTGATTCTCGGTAATTGAGTATCATGCTAAAAACAGACCAGCATATAGATCCTGAGATCAGATATATCCTAGATCTCTTCCTTCCTTGCAATACCTCAGAAGCTAAAGTGGTGAGAACTTGACCTTTGGTGAGTGCTTACTATGTGCCTGTTATTGCACTAAGCATTTTATGTATATTATCTCATTTAATCTACAACGTAGATTCCCATTTTCACAGCTGAGGAAAACTGAGCTCTAGAGAGGTGAAGTGACATCATTGCCCAGGGCACATAACTAAGAAGTAGAAGAGCACGGACTGAAAACAACTCTCTTCGGTACTTTGTTCTTTGTTCTTAGCTGCTATCTCATTATACCCTAAGTCTACTGTTTCCCTTTCAAGGGTATTGGGGTAACTAGGGACCTAGCCTTGTAAGAGACCATATTGCTTCCTGCATTGTAATTCCATCTTCTCTTCTGGATTATAAATATACTCCATGAGAGCAGGATCTATGTCCATCATGTTACCCTCTGCATCCCAAGCACTTAGCACTTGAGTTACAGCAACAACTTAATGCAGTCTTTCCTCCTAATCTGTCCTGCCCATGCCTCTAGACTAATCTTCATGAAGCACTACCTGCTTTCATAGTACTTCATCTCATAGAGTTTCAGAGACTTCCTTTGTCTATAAGACAAAGTTCATTCCTTCAGCAAATATTTATTAGACATATATAGGCATTATAATCCAATATAGAATATGGGCCTCATTCTGTTCCCTATATGGTCTAGATATGATGATGTATGAGATACAGTGTCTGCCCTCACAGAACTCAGCCCTAGTGAGAGTGACGCCAGATAGCTGGCAACTACCATACGTTGTGGCAAGTTCTATAATAGCAGTAGGCCCAGAATGCTGTGAAAGCAGAAAGAGCGATATCTAAACCTATCTGGGGTACTTAGGGAAGGCTTCCAGAGTTGTTGATGTCTGAGCCAGGAGAACTGAAGCCACGTAGGAAATGCCTTTCTGACATCAAACAAGCCTGATCAAATGAAACCAATCTCTTTATGGTTTCCCCCAAAGCTCTGAGGTGTCCTCCCTCTGGATCTTGTATTTCCCTTACTTGGGAAGACACATCCTACTTTCCTTCTTCCATCTTCCTGGCTTTTGTGTTTTGAAGTCCTACTGTTCCATTAATCTATAGCCAAAGTATATTTACAAAATACACTCTGAGCATATGACTCAAAACGATGCAATGGCTTCCCACAGTCTTCACAATAAAACCCAAATTTTCCAATGCAGTGTTTGTATCCTCCATGACCTTGCCTCTGTCATTCTTATCCATCTCATCGCATCTCATCCCTGGTTGGTTCCTCTCTCCACTCTGGGCTCCACATTGTCTGTGTCCCTGAATTCTATGGCATCAGCTTCAGGCTCTTCCAGGAAATCCCTCTCCCTCCACTGCCTTCTCCCACGCCTTTCTTCCCTCAGATTTTCTCTTGCCTTGTTCCAACTGTCTCTCAGAATGCAACCTAAATAGCTTCTTTTCCATAGAGCTTTTTCTGAATCCTCCCCTCCCAAAATCTGGCTTTGTGCCCTTGATAGGTTTTCTCATTGCACCTTATGTGCCAAATCCCAGCTCAGCATTTTACTAGCTGTGTGAAAAAGGGAAACCTTGTTCACCTTCTAGTTCCCTCATCTGGGAAATGAAGTAATGACACTCAAAGGTGACTGTTCCACATAAAAATCTGCATATGAATATTTATAGCAGCATTATTCATAATAGCCAAGAGGTATAAACAAGCCAAATGTCCATCAACTGATGGACACATAAAATGTGGTATATCCACACAACAGAATATCATTCAGCCATAAAAAGGAATGGCGTATTGATCCATCTTATAACACAGATGAGCTTTAAAGATATTATGTGAAATGAAAACAGCTGGTCACCAGAATAGGCAAATCTATAAACAAAGAAGTAGATGAGTAGTTGCCTAGGACTGAGGCATTGAGGGATAAGGGGGTATAGTTAAAGGGTATTAGGTTTATATTGGGAGCGATAAAAATGTTCTAAAATTGATTGTAATCATGGTTGTACAACCCTGTGAATATACTAAAAACAATTGAATTGTGTATTTAAAAAAAATTTTTTTTTTCGACGTTTATTTATTTTTGGGACAGAGAGAGACAGAGCATGAACGGGGGAGGGGCAGAGAGAGAGGGAGACACAGAATCGGAAACAGGCTCCAGGCTCTGAGCCATCAGCCCAGAGCCTGACGCGGGGCTCGAACTCACGGACCGCGAGATCGTGACCTGGCTGAAGTCGGACGCTTAACCGACTGCGCCACCCAGGCGCCCCGTGAATTGTGTATTTTAAATGAGTGAATTATATAGTGTGTGAATTATATCTTCATAAAGCTATTGTAAGAATGAATGAATGAATGAATTTCAGAGATGGCAACTGGGGATAAAGTAGGATAATTAGAATAATGTACATAAATTACCCAATGTAATAGTTGGCAAATAGATGGCCTTCAATAAATATAGCTTCTTTCTCCCAGTACACATACATTCACTTGCTTCAATATATATTGAATATTTACTGAGTTCCTCCCATTGTTAGGTATGTTCACGTTAATTTTCACAACCCTGGAAGATTAGGTATTGTTATTCTCTCATTTTAGATGTAGGAAACAAAACTCAGAGAGGTGACAAGACATATCAGAGTCTAATTAGTAGAGCCAGAATTCAAGCCTGGTCCTCTCAGTCTAGTAAAATTTCTTTTCTTTTTTTTTTAACATTTATTCATTTTTTTTTTTTTTTTTTTTTTTGAGAGACAGAGAGAGACAGAGCATGAGTAGGGGAGGGGCAGAGAGAGAGGGAGACACAGAATCCAAAGCCGGCTCCAGGCTCTGAGCTGTCAGCACAGAGCCCTACACGGGGCTCAAACTCACAGACTGTGAGATCATGACCTGAGCTGAAGTCGGACACTTAACTGACTGAGCCACCCAGGCGCCCCTAGTAAAATTTCTAATGCATTATAAATTTCTCTGAATGCTAGTTTTTTCCTCCTTATAAAAGCTTCTCATTTATTTCAACACAACCAAGAATTTCTTACAGGAACTAGTTGGCGTGCATCAAAGGTTAAACAGAGGTCCAAGTTTAGGGGAATCAATAAGCCTCCATAACTGTATGTAAAATTTGGTCTGTGTTGATTGGTTCCTGTGAGAAAGGGTATTTGGTTTGTTTGTTTGTTTTTAATTTTTTCTTTTTAAATTTTTTTTTTTTTACGTTTATTTTTGAGACAGAGAGAGACAGAGCATGAACGGGGGAGGGGCAGACAGAGAGGGAGACACAGAACCGGAAGCAGGCTCCAGAGTCTGAGCCATCAGCCCAGAGCCCGACGCGGGGCTCGAACTCACGGTCTGTGAGATCGTGACCTGAGCTGAAGTCGAACGCTTAACCGACTGTGCCACCCAGGTGCCCCTGTTTTTAATTTTTTTTAATGTTTATTTATTTTTGAGAGAGACAGAGAATACAAGTGGGTTAGGGGCAGAGAGAGAGGGAGACACAGAATCCGAAGCAGGCTCCAGGCTCTGAGTTGTCAGAACAGAGCCCGACACGGGGCTCGAACTCATGAGCTGTGAGATCATGACCTGAGCCGAAGTCGGATACCCAACCGACCAAGCCACCCAGACGCCCCAAGGGTATTTGGTTTTTAAAGTCATAGGATTTACCAAAACATAGATACTTTTTATCCATGATTTAAAGGGACATAAAATGTTTATCAGAGTATTAAATAAAAACTTACCTGAAAGTAGAATGGACTGATTATATCAGCCAATATAAAGTAATTCATGTATAAAAATAGATATAAAAAGCTGGCTTACAATGAAAGCGCTAATACAAAAGTGTAAGATTTATAATTGCCAAATATTCTTCAGGTATTTAGGAATTACATTTTCTTCAGTTTTATCGAGATGTAATTGACATATAACATTCATTGTATAAGTTAAAAGTATCTGGCATAATGATTTGATATATGTATACAATGCAAAATGATTATCGCATTAAGATTAGTTAACATCTATCACCTCACATAGTTTTTTTCCCTTGTGATGAGAACTTTTATAAGATCTACTCTCTCAGCAACTTTCAAATATACAGTACACTATTGTTGACTATAGTCTTCATGTTGTACATTACATCCCCAGAATTGATCTTATAACTGGAAGTTTGTACATTTTGACCATCTTCACCTAATTCCTCCAACCACTACACCCCCACCTCTGGCAACCACAAATCTGATCTCTGCTTCTAGGAATTTGGTTTTTGGGTTTTTTTTAGATTGTACATATATGTAAGATCATGAAGTATTTGTCTTTCTCTAATTAACTTATTTTACTTAGCATAATGCTCTCAAGGTCCATCCATGTCTTTGCAATTGGCAAGATTTCCTTCTTTTTTCATGGTTGAATAACATTCCGTGTGTGTGTGTGTGTGTGTGTGTGTGTGTGTGTGTGTGTGTGTCACATTTGCTTTACCCATTTATCTGTCCATGGTGTTGTAAATAACGCTGCTACAAACCTGGGGAGGGTGAAGATATCTTCAGACAGTGATTTCATTTTCTCCAGCTATCCAGAAGTAGAATTGCTGGATCATATGGTATTTCTATTTTTAATTTTTTGAGGAAACCCCATACTGTTTTCCATAGTGGCTGCACCAATGTACATGCCTGCCAACTATGCACAACTATCCTTTTCTCCACAACCTCACCAGCATTTGTTTTCTCTTGTCTTTTTTATGATAGCCATCCTAACAGGTATGTAGTGAGGGGATTAAATCTTTAACCAAAAATGTATATAAAGTATAAGTTTTAGGATAGTATGGCCAATGGCTTATTATTATAATTTTAAATATTCATCCTTTCTTTTCTTTTAGGAGACAAAAATTAGTAACATCCCTGAATTTGAAGTATTTTATAAAATCTTGCCCCTTCCAAACTCCAGGTTAGTAAAGCCAAGACAATCAACTGCATGCTTGAGACTCATGTCTGCCTAACTCATCCTGAGTTGCTTGTTGTCTTGAAGAAACATAGCATTTGGGGGTAATTTTGTTTTATATTTAGTATTTGAATCCTTTTCCAATTCCTTTTCTCTTTCCACTTTTTCACTCCTACACCTGACAGAATCTTGACTTAAGGTAGAAAGTAATCATAAACATAAGTTTACGCTAAATGTTATTTGGTTTCCTTTGTGCTTGACAGTTGTAAAAACTGAAATCCTATTGATGCCTTATCCCCATACCCCCAAAGTGCTACCAGGACATCCTGTTTTCACAAAGTTCTCACATATGGCCATTCTTAGTTTTTCAGGAACAGGTTTGGTAGAGTCAGATGGAAGTCTTCAAGGGATTGAGGAAAATAAGTCAGAAGAAGCAATGCCAAACCCCAAGTCCTCCAAGTCTCTTTCATGTTCACAGAATTCTAAAGCTGGATATGTAAATGTGCCTTTTCTTAAAGAGACACATTGCATCGTAGAAGAAGACCAGAAGTCAGAACTATAAAATCATTGGTGGCTAAACTAGGCTGATCAAAGCTGCTAACTTAAAGCTTGGGCATGAAGGTGGAACATGACATGGAGAACAGTTACCACAGATCCTCATGGGACATCAACCAGGAGCCTTCAGAATTGCTGATAAATTCATTAAACCAGTTGTAAAAATGGATTTCTCAAGTTTGTTTGATATCCTCAAATATCCTTGTATTGATCAATAATAGTGATTAGTTCAATGGTTTAATTAGGTTTCTGTTCAGCAGAGCATACATAGGCTAATTCAGCACGTTTTTACTATTATGGGTATTATTCATTTTTTAAAAGTTAAAAACAATGTAATCATATTAAAGCAAATACTTTAAAAAGAAAAAGATATCTCCTATAATCCTGCATTCTCAACACAACTATTTTCATTTATTCCTTTTGGTTATTCAAATGTATATATTTTAAATGGTTGTTGTATTGTATGTTCATTTTCATGGTCTGATTTTTAGTTTAATATAATACATTTTCCTGTATTTCAACAGTCTTCATAACTATTCTTTCAATAGCCACACGATATCCTATCATGTTGATGTTCCATAAATTCTGTTGTTTGCATTTTAGTTGTTTCTACTTTCTCACTATTTGAGATTATGTTGTGGTGAAAGTGTTTGTGAATGTAGCTCTTTTTTTCTATTGAGTTACTCCAGAAAAGATGAGCATAATTGGGTCAGCAGATACAAATGTTATATAGTTTTGGTATATCACTTATCTCATTGCTTTAAAAAAAAGTTGTGTCAACATAATGTTTCTATAGTCAACCTCCAAGCTTCAATTTCTTGATGCATAAAATGAGAACAATAGTCATTCCTGTCCCATAGAGTTGTGAGGACCAAATGAAGTGAAGCATGCATGCATTTAGAACTTAGCAACTGCTTAACAAATGCTAGATATCATCATTTATTTTCACTAGCAGTTTGAATATACTAGTCTTTCCACAACCTCATCAACATTGGATATTACCAATTAAAAAAATCATTTTAAAATAGTATAAAGTATACTGAAGGGTGATTCCTGTTCCTTCTTCCCTTCCTGCCCCTTTGCCTCCTTATTCTCCTCCTCTTCAATTGGAGATAGAGAAGGAGACCAAAGGGAAAGGAAAAGTAACCAAAAATTAAAAAAAGATATAAGTTGAGACATTGAATTTTTACATGTAACCCTTGCTTCCTCAGACCATTGACCTAGAAAGGATGATCAAAGGATATAAGACATAATAGCTGTATCAGATACATGCTCTGGCTCCAAACTTTGCCCAAGGTCACCTTCTTTCACTCAATTCATCGAATCTATTTACTGAATTCCTGCTATGGGCTAGTCAATAGTAGGCACTATAGCTCACCTATAGTCTGTCAAAGACGGATAATTTGGCATGAGGAAATAAACCAGTGATGGATCTGAAAGAGTGGGCTACTTTAGACTGAGTGCCAGTGTTCCCTTCTGAGTGACATTTGAGCTGAGACCTGAAGTATAAGGAGCACTTCCTACCTCCATTAAGACCTAGAAGAGTATTAAAGACAGTTAACATTACCAGGTCTCTACAGTACCGATCTCCGTGATCTCGAGGGACAGAAAGGCCTGAGTATCATACCTATCTGGCTCCAGGTATGCGGGGCCAGATAATGTAATATAGGCCCTTGTATGTAAGGAATTGGATTTTATTCTAAACATGGGAAGCCAGAAATGATTTATAAGCAGATTAATTTTAAAAGCTCCAGCTGAAAAAGAAAAGAAAAAAAAAAAAAAAAGCTCTAGCTGCTCTGCAGGAATGAACTGTAGGTGACAAAAGCGGAAACTTGTGCCCCAACTGGTGTCCGGACTTAAAAGAAGGGGTACCTATGTCAGGCTGTTCTAAGCGCCGAGGACAAACAGATTCCTGCCTTCGTAAGGCGCATAGGCGGGGGTAAGAAACACCACGTATAGCGGTTTAGAAGTCCTGGCCGAAGCCACTCCTGGCCGAAGCCACCACCGCAACGCCCAGTTTCGTCGAGAGACGCAGAGAACGCTCCGCAGGGGGATCGCAGGGCGGGGCTTCCGGGGGCGGGACCCGGCCTAGGTTGGTTGGTTCCGCGCCTGCGCCGGAGAGTAAACTGGCGGAGCGGGGAACAGGTTCACCGGAACCCGGCGCCCCTGACTTCTGCTTCCGGGTCGCAGCCATGGCGGTGGCAAATTCAAGCCCTGTCAATCCTGTGGTGTTCTTTGATGTCAGCATTGGCGGGCAGGTGAGGTCCAGGCAGCCGCCGCGCCCAAGGGACACTGCACGGGGCCAGCCAGGAAGATCTCACCCACCCAGGGAAAGCGGAGTCGAGAAGCCAGATAGCATTACTTGGACCAGAACCTACCGACTTGCGGGGCGGGGGCGAGGGAGGGAGAGGAGGAGTCTTTCACATTTGAGCGCCCCTATGGGGGAGGGAATGGGCGCCACGCGAGGATAGACTATGCAGGCGGAGGTGGGAGAGACCAAGCGGCAAGCGGGAGAGAGGGGTCGGACCCTCCTGTTCCCTGCTGGCTGAGTCCTCGGTGGTCTTGGACCGGCCATTCTGACCGTCTCCTGCCGCTTGCAGGAAGTTGGCCGCATGAAGATCGAGCTCTTTGCCGACGTTGTACCTAAAACGGCCGAAAATTTTAGGTAAGAAGATGATGCTCCAGCTCTTCCAGATTAACCCAAGCAGAAGCTGGACCGGTCTGCGGAATCGTCTGCCTGCCTCTGTCCGTCCACTCACTGCCCTTGAGATCTGAGTCCCCTTTGTATCGCTCTGTCTGAATAGTCACCGTTTTTACTGTTCCCATGTCAATATATGTTGTTAGTTTTATGCTTAGTGTTTGGACGTCGGCTGGCCAGTTGATGGGCTTGCTGGCGCGAATGTTACCCCACCCCCACCTCCTATATTAGGGGCGCTCTCAGCTGTGATGTCATGGTGACTGAATCATTCACTCTTTTCTCTTTCAGACAGTTCTGCACTGGAGAATTCAGGTAAATCTCAGACGTGGTTGGTTTCTCTGCTTGCTCCTGAAGCGTGTCCTGGGGCTGCAGTGGGGTTTTGGGGGGAACCACCGGCAGGCCTTGAATGATTATTGGTGACAGTAATAGGTAATACCGCCATGGGTCTGTCTTCAGTTTATTTGCCTTCTTTGTCTCTGTTCTCCTGAGCTTTAGGAGAGTCCCTTGGCTCGAGTGTGTGGTAAACTGGAAAGGCCTATGATTGCCTGTCATCATTCCAAGTCTCTTTCTTTTTGGTTATAGAAAAGATGGGGTTCCAATAGGATACAAAGGGAGCACCTTCCACAGGTAAGTCCTTTGCAAGCCATCGCTACAGGCTTTTAGAATTACTTCCTTAGGGGATTAGTCTCTTTAGAGGAAAATAAAACTATAGGATAATTCCTAGATCTTGAGAAGGAATGGTTTTGTGAACTCAAAAGCTGATTTGAAGGCTTATTAAAAGCCAAAGTGATAAACATTTTATTTTTCAATCAATGTTAATCTAAAGTATAATGACTAAATCAATGTTTTTCTAAACCTCAGAGCCTTCTCTCAGGATCCTTAATTCTCTGTTTCAGGGTCATAAAGGATTTCATGATTCAGGGTGGGGATTTTGTTAATGTAAGTACTATTCCTTTGCTATCAAAGACCTATAGGAATGTTGTTTTTTGTTATTGCTGCTACTGCTGTTTTTACTACAGGGCCCAGTCTTAAGGCTTGAAAACAGTAGCCAAGTTTGAAGGAGGAGGGGGTGATAGGAATGTCCTTTAGGGTTGCTGGCTACTACTCTTTAACCATTAGATGATAGGCATCAGCGTTTTGATTGAGTCACTGACTTCCAAATCTTAGCCTTTTAGGGCCAGAAACTGAACTTTGCCAGCACACCTGTAGATGATTCATGAGAGACACAAACTAGTTAGTCACATGAAACTTCGATAGATATCAGATGAAATTTTTTTTTGTTAATTTCTAAATGGCAGTAAGTCCTTTTCCAGTGAGCTAAATTCTTATGCCCCATTTCCCTTCCATTCCTCATATCACAATGCCTGGAAAGCTGAGTTTTTCATCAGAAACTGATTAGTGGACAAAGAATTAGAGCATCAGAGATAGATTGTTCTGGAGGGGTATTTCCTCTGTTTTCTAGGAGAGCCTGGTGGAATAGTTCTTCACTGCGAAGCATGTCTTTCTTTTGACTAGATTACCTGTGTCTCTCATACCAAGTCTCATTTCCTTCTTCTGACCTTGGCAGGTGTTGAATAAACCATATCTTTTCTTCTTAAACCTACTTTTGTCCTTGGCCAACCTCTTGTGTGCATGGTCTTTCTTATTTATATCATTTGGTTAGTCATGTTGGGATTTTCTTGGATCTGGAAGACATTCTTTCTCCTTCATAGGTATATTTATTTAACTCAGGAGTTTTTTTGTTTTGTTTTTAACTTTTTAAAATGTTTTATTTATTTTTGAGAGAGAAAGAGAGACAGAGTGCAAGCAGGGAGGGGCAGGGAGAGAGGGAGGCACAGAATCTGAAGCAGGCTCCAGGCTCTGAGCTGTTAGCACAGAGCCTGATGCAGGGCTTGAACTCATGCCGTGAGATCATGACCTGAGCTGAAGTCGATGCTTAACCGACTGAGCCACCTAGGTGTCCCTAATTCTTAGGAGTTTTTGAAGACCTGTCTCTTTCCTATCTAGGGAAGGTTACAAAGGGGCAGATTTTAGGCCAAATCAGGCTTTCAGATATGCTTTGTTTCATGTGTGTGATGTTGTAAAACTGGGAAATTTCACCAGAAAATTCCAGAGTTTTCTCTCTAAAGAAGGGGAAATAGAGGTGCATTAGGCCTGTGTTTCTCACATAGCAACAATTGTTTGGAATCACGTAACTGCTCCCTTTAAATAGCATGTGTCCTTGCCATTTCACCACAGCCACTACCGCCTGCTTTCCTTATTTATGTCACTTGCCTCTGTAGGCATTTAAGTTTGCAATCCCTGGCCATAACTGATGGTAGTAGGGCTTGAGTGACCGTATACTTTTTTGTTAGCTGGTAAGAAGGGCTAAGAATCTATTCTCTGCCTTCTTTTCTTTCTTCCCTAGGCTCCTGTGTTGCCATGTTGTCTTAAGAGGGCCGGGACCAACTTCTTGCATCATTGCCAGGCACATCTAGTCGTTTGCTGATAGCTGTAGAATCAGACAGTACAGTTGGTCAGCCAGAGGCTGTGTCAGCAAGAAACAATTGTTCAGAGCCACTCTTAGGAAAGAAAAAAATAGAATGAGCAAGAAGCAGAATAAGTAGGTATTGAGACCTTCTAAAGTTGGACCAAGAATATGTGTTTCTTTGTTTTAATAATTTTTTTTCTGATTGCAAAATTGCAAAATTATCTCTCAAGGAATCTCACTTCTCAAGGAATATATTCTTGGCATTTTAGTTTACATTTGCCAGTCTCATCATTGCACGTGTATGTGTGTCAAATATAATTCTTAACAGACTTAAAATCACGTATATATTTTAATTTTTTATACTTAATAATTATCTACATTTTTCCTTGTCATTAAGGCATTTTTTATAATAGCTACCTAATATTCCAT